TATATATATATATATATATATATATATGTATATAAGATTGTTATTTAGATGTAAAGTTTAAGTTCATTTGAAATCAAGATTTAAGCTATAGAAGATTCATATTTGAAATGAGAAAAAGGTTGACGGCAGCAAAGAAAGATTAGGATTTTAATTCCAAAAGTATTTTTTTAAAATTAATAATATTTAATATATGTATTAATTGCAATAATTAAACTTAATATTTAACTAATGAAATCTTAATTAAACAATGTAATAAAATAAAATTTGATAATTAACAATTAAATTAAACATACTTAAGTAATGTGATAAAAATTTAATAATTTGAATATTTTATATATTATTGGTGTTGTTAACTTGGAGGAGGGGACAAAAATTAAAAGCAAATAAAATCATTTAAATCGAGGTGAGTAAAAAATTGTATAAATAATTATTGATATCTATAAATTCATGTATCGGATTATTCTGATTTAAATACTCTTCTTTTTATTGGTTATATCCAAAAGTTAGGCCTCTTTATAATAAAAAAATTATAACATATTATTAAAGACACATTCTATGTACAAGATTGACTATGATGGAACCACTTTATAATACTAGCAGGAGAATCCTAAGGTACCCGCGCACGTAAATGAAAAAGTAAACTGATATTAAAACTGGTATACTTTTTAGACGATGCTCCTGTGACGGTTGTACAAATATAAATGATTTAGATATATTATTGATATAACAAAAAACTTTAAATATTATAAAATATGGTGAGTGATGATATTTATTAACTATCAATATTTTATACATATTTATTAAAGGCTTAACTGACATGTATATTGTTTTCTCTTTCATTGTGCTTCACTGTGTCATTTTGTCATATTTTCATTCAAATCTAATAAATTAACATCATTATTTATATAATATGCGCAATAGAAGAAAAAATATTTATAGAAGATACAGGCAACCAGAATTGAAATAAATTTAACCGTTTTACTTTAATTCATTTTCTTTATAGTGATTCTTTCATTATTAAAATGTTAGTTATATAGAAATTTATTTTTCCACTATTCGACCGTCCCTACCCATCTTGGTTAATTCTAAACATCGGATCAGGTCATGACATGCAAAGTTTATAAAGGGAATTATAAAACTGTTGTGAGTGAAGTGACTGAGAACGTTAGGAGAACAATTTTGGGTGAAAGGGAGATCATTTCTTGAGCGAAGATGCAACCGCCAATGGCTAAAAAAAAATTCGTATTAGGCGTTGAATCTTTATTGGGACGATTACATATCACACAATTCTTGTGCATTTACATATTTCACACCTAAACTTTCATGTTTACGCACAAACACTTGAATCCTTAATATCACATCAAAAATAGCGTTATTATCACTTTTTAAAAATGAAATACTTATTTTCATGAAAAGCTTTGAAGCATCAAAGTGCTATGCATATAAATATAAAATTTTAGGTGTGAATTTATAAAAAAAGGATTCTCTACGCTATCTAATTAGATGTTGAGATCCTTTATTTATAATTCCAAGTTGAGGTGAACAATTGAAATACAATGGCACAACCATCAAATAGAAAAAGTGGTTATAGAACCATGAATGGGAAGAGAAGAAGCCTATTACAAGGTATCAGTTATATCTATTCTATAAGGGATATTTACTCGAAGAGATGTAGAGCTGTGTGACGTGTTGAGTTGGATCAAGTTGTTTTTCAAGAACGAATTTCCGAGTTGGATCATAACCGCTCTCAGAGGACAAGGTGTTGTGTTAGATTGTGGTGATTATTTTCTTGGGACCTAATTTAAGACTTTGTTTGGTTCAGCTCTTGCTTTGTCAAAAAAAAAAATTTAAAAGTTGTTTTATAGAAAGTAGGCTTTAAAGCCAAATAAAAATGATGATCTAAAATAACTACAAACCATGTTTGATTAGAACTACTTTTAAGAAAGAATTAAAGCCAAACGGAAGTAAAAATGAAAAAAACTGCTTTCACTAAAATTTAAAGCAGTTTAAAAACTTTACCAAATGAATCCTTAGGTGAATGCAACTCTCATTTTATTTTAGGGGCATTTACACGCATACCTTCCAATTCTTATGTGATGTACATACCTCATATCTAAATTTTGCTTTTTACATTTATAACACATAAAAAATATCACCATTTTAACTTTTAAAAAGTAAAATATATATTTTTTCATGCACAGGCAAGGTGGTATTCATGTAAAAATTGAAGTTTGTGTTAAATATGTAAATACATAGAAATTGAGGGGTATGTATGTAAATGCCCCTTTATTTTATGCATGATTTGAGCTGCTCATTCTTCAATCTTAACTGAGATAATATACAGATTCAATCCAAATTGAGCTTAAAATACTCGTAGAATCATGTCCTAAAACTACAATCAATATGAGAGACAAAAAACATAATGTCAAATAGTGAATGGCTTGTTTGGAATCATTTTTGCTTCTTTTTTTTTACTTCTATTTTAAAAACATGTTTGTTTAGTGCATTTTTTACGTTCTTTTATTTTTATTTTCAAAAGCAAATTAATTTTTTTAAAAAAACACTCAAAACACCTAAAAGTTATTCCGAGTATTTTCAAAAACAGCTAATCATTTTAAAACATACAAAATATATATGATTTTAAGTGAAAAATTAAAAAAACAAAAAAAAAATTAAAAAAAAAACAAAAGTAATCCCAAATGGTTTTGAAGGAGTTCAATATACCTTTAACTCGCAATATTCTTGCATTTTCTTTGCCTGGATCATGGCTGTCTTAAAGCTCTCGCTTTTGAAGCCCTGCCCGCTCCTAATCATGCAGACAACCCTACTGAAATCTTTCTTCTGGTACAGTACAACACAAGCTGCAGGAAGATCATCCCTTCCAGCCCTCCCTGATTCTTGGTAATAGCTCTCAATTGATTTCGACAAAGTATTGTGAATCACAAACCTCTGCATGGCAAAAAAGAGCAAATTCTCGTTAAGAACTTTCAAATACAAAAACAAATAACACTCTGAAAATGAGAGAAAGGATGAAAATTGGTCCCCTGACTGTTTGCAAGGAGCTAAAATGGTCCCAAACTATATAAAAGACCAATTTACTAAAACTATGGCCATTTACATACATACTGCACAATTCCTAGGAGCATGTCTAACATCTAAATTTTGCCTTTTACATTTATACCACCCAAAATTTTAATATCACAAAAAAATACCACTATTCTAACTTTTAAAAAGTGAAATAGACAGCACATATGTATACATTGAACTTTAGGTGTTAGATATGTAAATACCTATGAATTGGGTGGAATGTCTGTAAATCTTACCTCAAACTATTTAAATAGGAAACAAAAAGGCCCTCCAACAGGACAGTTTTAGTTCATATTAATGAGTCTAGGGACCAAAATAGCATTTTACATAGTCTGGAATTATTTTTCTCTTATAAATAGTCAGGGACCATTTTGATGTTTTTTTTTTCTTCTTTTAAAAATTTAGCGGAACTCACAACATCCGCTTTGTCGATTCCCATTCCAAATGCAACAGTAGCACAGACGACATAAGCCTCTCCACTCTGCCATTTCTTTTGAACAGTAACTCTCTGACGAGCCGCCAAACCAGCATGATAATAAACAGTTCTTATCTTACATTTCTGATTCAAGTAATTTGAAACCTCAACACATTCGCTTTTGGAAAGACAATATACGATCCCGCACATATTATTGAAACGGTCTTTTATCATTTGTCCAAGTTGTTTCAATGAATCTTTGCACTTTCCAACAACTTCATACTTCAGCTTAGGCCTATCAAAGCTTGCCTCGAGAACAACAGCACCAGGAATCCTTAATGTGCTTAAAATGTCCTGAATTTGATGATAATATTTTACTAATCAACTTAATATTAACCCAAGAGGAAACTAAAATTACTGTTTTAATAGGAGTAAAGTGTTAAAATAGTCCCGGCTATTTACAACATGGGGCCATTTTAGTCCAAGAGTCTATTAAAGTGACAAATTAGTCCCTAGATTCTTTTAATGTGGGCTGAAACAGTTTCAAGGGATAACTATTTTAATTCCCATTAGAAGAGCATGGGAATATTGACATTTTTATAGACTGAGATTAAAATGGACCTCTAAAAAGAATCAGGGGAACACTTCTCTCCTTTTAATACCTTCTGAACAGAGTGAGTGGCAGTTGCAGTTAGTGCCATGAGAGATACTCTAGGAAAGTTCTGTTTGAGGCAGCTGAGTTCTCGATAGTCTGGTCGAAAATCATGTCCCCATTGGCTGAAAGCAATATAAGGAAAATTTACTAGCTACAGACTTTTTATCAGAAAGCACTTAATATAACGAAGATTTGCATACATACCACTCAATTCATAACTATTCAAATATCTAACACCCAAACTTCAATTTTTCCATACATGCTGCCTTAACTATGCATGAAATGGTATATTTCACTTTTTAAAAGATAAAATAGTGGTATTTTTTATGTCATATAAAAGATTTGGGTGGTATAAATCTAAAAAATAAAGTTTAGGCTTTAGATATCTAGATACATAAGAATTGGGGGGTATGTATATAAATATCCCTAAAGATAAACAGGCATTTGTGCGATCAACTCATATTAATCACCTAACACAATGTGCTTCATCAATTACAAATCTTGCAAGAAGACCCTGTAAGAAAGAAAATATTAGAACCATCAATCTGAACAAAAGTTAGCAAAATTTTATATATCAAAATTTGAAGAAAACACACTTTAGTGAAATACCCAATCAGATCTCTAAAAAGCAAAAAAAACAGCCACCTTCTGGTGTAGACATCTCAGGGTATCCATGAATGACATATTTCCAGCTATCCTTTCTGGTGTAACATACAATAGTTTGCATGATGGCCGCTCTTTTCTGTAAAGAATAGATCCAAACATTAAGAAAGTTACCACAATTCCAAATTTACACTTCAAAATTTGAGACAATATAATCTTCATATGTCAACTACAGAAATTTCGTCATCGGTCCAAGAAGATTAAGCTAATTGTTAGGAGGGTGGAACACTGGAGATTTAACTTAAGCCTGACAGTCTAATAAATGAGAATTCATTGATCAAAAAAATTAAAGCTAATGGGTAGAGGTCACTCCTATTATATCAAAACTTCAAATTTTATTTCACTTCAATGACATCAGAACTTCTTAAAGTTGAAAAACCTAGGAACTGAACTCTGCTTGCAATAGGATTTATCTTGGGTCAACATTTAAGATTAAGGCTTTTGTTTGGTTAGTATTCCCCTTTTAAAAAAGGCTGTTAAAATTTGTTTTTTCAAAAGCAGCTTTTTAAAGTTTGATAAAAGTTAAGGCTCGAATTGGAAAAAAATGAATTTTTTTAAAGCGTTTCTAATGAAGTATAATAACCAAAAAAACTCATAAAATGAAGAAAGTCTCTTTTTGAAACGGGAAGTAGCAGAAAAGTTTCCTCAAAGGAGCCTTAAATTAAGGATGTCCGTGATTTCTTTTTTTGTTTAAAAATAAGACCTATATGACCATGAGGGGCAGATCAAAATGTCAAAGTTAGCAAAACCTTATTTACCGGGAATCTTGCTCAACTGGACAGAAAAATAGGGAGATGTAAAGTTTACAAAGTTGCTTATCTTCAAATTTATTGATAACAGTAAATATGGAATTAAGATGCAAACTACTACAGACGACAACAAATGAATCGATTCATGAAAAACGGAAAGGAAATCAGAGCAAGAAAAACAATCGAGCATGAATAGTATTGTTGAAAATTCAAAGGAATCAGAGCAAGAGTTCTTAAAACTGGAAATAAAATAATACAAAGCACAAACAAGCCTTTAGCGTGAGGGTGAAAGTGATGAACGCCAGCTGCACAGCAGGTGTGGGTGTGGTTTGGAAGGTTACAACAGCAGGTAAGGTTGCGGGAAGGGAAGCGGCAGCAGGTCGGGTTGTTAGAAAGGTGGTGAAAGTAGATGAGGGTGGTTTGGAAGGTTGGCAGCAACAGGAAGGAGTGTAGGGAGGACTGGTGGCAGCAGGTTTGGACTGTTTGGTGCAGGAAGACTAGTGGTAGCAATAGCAGGAAGGTTGGAAGAGCAGGGAAGAGGGCAACAAGTTGGGAAGGGAAAAATAGAGAGGATTAGTAGAGATAACTACAACCTCAGAGCAGGAAACAACTGAAGCACTGACTCTCCTCGGATACAGCCCTAAAAAGGGAGACCCGAGCCAGCAGCGAGAAACCTGAAAACAACAAATGAAGACTCAACCCTAAACAACAAAGCAACACATTTATAGAAGAGATAACTAGGAAGGGGAGGGGAGAGGGGCGCCACAACCTTTAGCCTTAATTAGTGCCAACCAATTCAACCTCCTTGCTAGACCGGCCACATCCTTGCTAAACCGGTTGAGCCGGTTCAGCCCGAACCCCCAAGTCAGTCTCTCGAGGTTGGGGGAGCTTCGACTTCATTCGTCGAAGCTTCTGGCTCCTCGTAATACAATGTCAATTCCAGGCCAATAAGCGTAGTGAAAACAATGTAGTTCACTGGCTGATCGATCTAATAAGAATTGTCATTCAACTTCCAGAGATTCTAAAAAGTTCACCTGCTTTGGGCTTGAGTTTTTTGAATGCTCCCACTGGAAATATACTGGATCCACACTAGATCCCCCTCTTGAAACGTCACCATGCTCCTAGTCTTCTTGGCCTGTGCATGGTATTTGTGGTTCTGCTTAGTGATCTCCTTTCCAACCTCCTAGTGGAGCTTCTGAATCTGATGTACCCATTCCTCAGCATCCTCACTAATCTTTGATGTCGGCAAAGGAGGTACCAATTAAAGCGGAATGAGCTTGTTGCGCCCATACAACCTCAAATGGGGTGTGTCCCGTAGTCTGACTCACGGATCTATTGTAAGCAAACTTGGCTTGTGCTAGAAGCAAATCCCACTTCTTGATATTCTTCCCAACAAAGCATCTCGAAAGACTCTCAAGGCTCCTATTTACTACCTCCATCTAACTGTCCATTTGTGGGTGAGCTGCGAAAGTAAATTGAAGTTTAGTGTCTAGCTTCCCTCGCAGGGACCTCTAGAAGTGACTCAGAAACTTGACATCTCTGTCGGAAGTGATGGTCATGGGTATCATATGCAGCCTCACAATCTTCCTAAAGTATAAGTCGGTAACAAACAATGCATCCAATGTCAAGTAGTAGGGTACAAAATGCGCCATTTGCAAAAATTGATCCAAAATAACCATAATGGAATCCTTATTCTGTTGGGCCCTTGGGAGGCCCACCATAAAGTCTGTGCTAACATCTCCTCATGGTGCCTACGGTACAGATAATTGGGTGTATAGTCCTACCTTCTGCCTCAAATTTTGGCCATATGAAAAATCCCACATTGTTTGACACGCCGCTCCACATCTCTAGTCAGTCAAAGCCAAAAGAAGTGTTCTCTCACAAATGAGAGTCTTATCTCTAACAAAATATCCTAGAAGTCCTCCACTGTGGCTTTCATGAACATTGGACTCCCTCAACAAACATCAAAGAATACACAACTTACTCTGGTAAAACAAATTACCATCAGCCCTGTAGTACTCCCCGATAGGCTTCTCTTGACACCGCTCCATATTTTTTCCTAAATCATTGTTTTTTCTCGTACAACTCTTTCATTATCTCAAAGCCTACGACTTGAGCTTGCATCTCAATGATCAGCAAGTGATGACGGCTCAATGAGTCTGCTACGCGCGCGTTTCTGGCTCCCCGCCTTGTGCTTAAGAACAAACTAGAACGACGCTAAGAGCTACAACAAAAATCGGTATTGGCCCTTCAGCATTCTCTGGTTGTTCAAGAATTTCAAGGCCTCATGATTCGTGAATAAATTGAACTTGCTCTTCAGTAGATAGTTGCGCCAATGCTCAAGTGCTCTCACAATAACATAGAAATCATTGTCGTACGTCGAATATATTCTCCTGGACTGATTCAAATTCCCCTGAAAAAGGCTATATGGTGACCTCCCTAGCTCAGCACTGCTCTTATCCCCACGTTAGACACATCAATACCTCGAACAGTTGATTGAAATCCAGTAATGCCAAAATTGGTGCCTGAGTCACCTTCCCCTTCAGCGTGTTGAAGCTGTTCTAAGTTGCATCTGTCCATTCAAATTTCTCTCCTTTCAATAGCTCCATTAGGGAGCGGTGAGGGTACTGAAGCTCCTAATGAATCGTCTATAAAATGTTGCTAGTCTCATAAACTATCACAGCTTGGTGAAAGATTGCGGTGCAATTCAACATATAATGGTCTTGATCTTGGTAGAATCCATCTAAATGTCTGCACTAGACATAATATAACCCAAAAAAACATATCGGTGTTGTCATAAAGTGACAATTCTTTCGATGGGAGTATAGCTTTTCTGATTGCAACACCTCAAAGCCCGTCCTCAGGTGTTATAAGTGCTCATCCTCGGATTGTTGTATACCAGAATTTTGTCGAAGTACGCCACCATAAATCCCCGATGTGGGCCCAATCCACCAGATTCATCAACCTCATGAATGTGATGGTCACATTAAATAATCTGAAAGGCATAATTGTCCACTCGTATAATCCATCTCGGGTCTTTAAAGTGGTCTTCCACTCGTCCCATGGCTTCATCCAGATCTAGCGGTACCCACCGCAGAAGTCGACCTTAGAAAAGAGAAAGGCTTCATGCAACTGATCCAAGTGATCACCCATGTGAGGTATGGTGAGTTGAGAATTGATGGTAATCTTGTTGATGACCTACAGTCAATGAACATCTGCCACAAACCATCTTTCTTGAGTACCATCAAGGCGGCAACAACACATAAATTGGGACTCTCTCTAACTAATCCTCTTGCGAGGAGATCCTCTACCTGTCATTACAACTCTTGTATTCCGCAGGCAAGCCGATTTGGTAACATTGATTCGGGTATGAGATCTACGGCATGTTGAAAGTCCCTCAGTAGTAGCAATCCCTCTGGAGGACTGTCTGTCATCACATCCTCAAAATCACATAGCAGTGGTTGTATAGGTGTTAGTATCTCACTCTCCTTAATTCCCTCAAGTCGGACCAACACCATTGCTACTAAAGCATCCTGACCGACTGCATGAAGGTAGCTCTTGAAGCTAATGCCTCCTCTGTGTTCTTTATACCTCTTTCATCATTGACAGGTAATATCATGATTTGTTTTCCAACATTTTAAAATGAATAATTATCCTTGAAGTCGTCATGTTGGGTCTTGCGGTCAAACTGTCATGGCCTATCCAACAAAATATGACACGCGTCTATAAAAACCACATCGCACCACACTTGCTCCTATAACCGATCCCCAATCGAAAATACAATTAAACACAGTTGATCCACGTGTATCTTGTTTCCTCTCTTCAACCAAGCGAGTAGGATTGAGGATGCTTCTTTGTTACCAATCAAGGTTTCTTCACCATCAATGTGGATACTACATTCTCACGGCTTCCACCGTTGTAATCAAACTTCAAACATTGCCCTTCATCGTGCACATGGTGTGAATATTGTCTCGACCATGAATGATACTTATTAGCTCCATATGTAGGACTTGCCGTATAACGAGCATCTCTCCCTCATCCCCTTGGAGTTGAAATTCCCCTCTAGGTTCTCCTCTGCTTCCTCTTCCTCCACCTCCTCGATGACGCCCTACTCTGTGAACTAAACAACTCGGTTTGTAAAGGAACTGGAGGCTATGTGTTCGTAGCCATGGCATCTAAAACATCTCCTGATAGGCACTGTACCGGGCGAGCTACTCTTTTATGGCTTCTTTCCACTCAGAACTGGCTTATCACTTCCCTATCCTATCTTTCCAACTCCTCCATGGGCACCCTTGTCAGTAGCTATAGCTGCAGGTGATTGCCTGAATGA